AGAAGTACTCATATCTTGTACTTGAGTAAAAGTAGAAGTACCAGAGTGTAGGAATACTCTGTTTCAGTAAAAGTCCTGCATTCAAAATGTTCCTCAATTAAAAGTAGAAAAGTATTATCATCAAAATATAGTGAAAGTAGCGACAGTAAAAGTAGTCATTGTGCAGATTGGTCCATTTCAGAATAATATATATATATGTTTTATAATGATTGATCATGAAAGTGTTCTCAAAGCTGGTAAAGGTGCAGCTAGTTTTAATGACTTTGTATACTGCAGGGTAGCTTGTGAATGTACTCCAGGTGGAACTAAAGTCTGATTTAACACTTGGTTATATTTCACATCATTCATCCAGATCTGTAAAGTAACTAAAGGTATTAAATACATGTAGTGGAGTAAAAGTACACCATTAACCTCTGAATTGTAGTGGGGTAGAAGTAGAAAGTAGCGTACAATGGAAATACTCAAGTAAAGTTGTACCTCAAAATTGTACTTACTGTACTACTTCTCTACTCAGTATATCACTTATATTTGGTCCACATTGACACATTACAATACTAAAAGCTATTCCACGTATAAAACAGGGGGAAATAATAACCATAATAATATAATATTGTGAAAAGAAAATTGCATAACGATAGGCTACTTGTACATATTGTACATTTAGCTGATAATACTTCTGTAGTTTGTTATTCTGAAATGGGTCATATTGCAGAGTACTTTCTACATTATGTACTTTAATTTATCCTGATACTTTTTTACTTTTAGTCGTATTTTTGAAATCAGGACTTAAATACTTTGTGGAGTATTTTAAGACCAAAGTATTTGTATTTATAATTAAGTAAAGAACACTGCTTCCCAGAGGATACATCTTCCGGTTTTAGTTAATCTGAGCAAAGACTGCAAACTAACTTCCGGAAAACTTCAATACACGTTTTCCTTGTTTTTGTTGAAGTCCTTACTTTTTAAACGAGTTCACCTGTCGCCATTTTGAAACGTCGGTTCGTCCTTATCTTCCCGGAGGAGAGTTTATTTGTGAAGATTTCAGTCTCTGTTCTGACCTTTATATATACAGTCTATGGTTCTGACTGACAGTGATGGCTATGAGGGGAGAATATATCAGAAACACCTGAGGCCTTCAACTAGAACAAAACAATCCCAGGTAATCCCACGAAATATAAACCAAATGTACCTGGTTACTACGGGAAAGACCAAAGTCGTCATAGCAACAGCTGCTATGGCTGAGTAGAATACACAACAGTTACCATTAAAATATCAGATTGACAGTAAATATATATATATAAATAAACATGCATATATAATACAATTATACACTATTGACTCTTATTTATCGGGCTGTGATTGGGGTGACTTTGCTTGAGTCCTCCAAGTGCTTACGGCTATATCACTACTAATAAAGAGACAATTTATCCCTGTATAATTAGAATTTATAATATGCGTTTTACACCATAGTATAGCCTATTATATAAATATACACACTGTTTTGCTCGCATTCGTGTCCTCCCTACGCTGTGTATTTTATATGATAGATATATACTTTATAGATAGATATATAGCCTACTTTATTAATCCCAAATTGGGAAATTCTAAATTTAGGATAACACTGTTAAATTTAAGTTAAAGGTAAAACATGTCCACCTCTGTATACACTGCTATACTCTAAGTATTTGTTTTTGAGCTGCCATTAACATCCTGTAGGGGCCAGCACTCCGCCTGAGACGCTTGTGTTGTGTTCTTTTTTCACAGAAGAAGAAATGTTTCCCGATGAAAACTTTGGCAAGCTGATTTTCAAGCTTTCTTTCTGAAAAATACGATTTGAATTTGCTACAAACATACACCATAAACTACACAATTTAGTCTGTGTGTATTTTTAGAGCATAGACTGCAACTAATTTGTTTCAGTTTCTTTTATTTAAATTAAACTCGAACGATGCTTTTATTATGAAAGTTTCTGCTGTCTAAAAACATGGAGGGGAAATCTTCAGGCAACTTTGTGCTGACGCTGATATATGTAGATAAATACTAACTGAGTCTCTAGTGTTTCATTATTTGACTTTATTTCACCAAACTGTGTGGCTGTCTTATTGTTGAACCGGATGTGTCGGGATGCAGAGCTCAGACTCAGACGGAGCAGAAAAGTCTCAACAACAGAGGCTGGTTTTCTTCGACTTGGAGACAACTGGACTGAGTAAGATACCATGAGACTTTAAATGGACTTATGACCTGTTTTCAGACAGATACAAGTGTATGCTTCTGCTTTAAAGTTTCCATGGTGTGTCAGGACAACTTATATGGGGGTAGACAAATCACACTGGACACTTACTGCATAATAACCTTTGATTTAGTTTTACTGTCATCACTACAAATTGAATGAATGAGTAAAGGGTCAACAAACAAACGAGTTATCATTTTACAGGCAGTTTGCATAATACCCTCAAGCTTGAGATATTATAAATGATGTCTGTTTAAAAGTATTACATATATGTTGTTATAGTTTATGACTTGACACTAGGACTGCAGTTGGTTTCAGTTTGATCCATTTTCTTGATTCGATCAAAATGTGGCTTCAATCAGAGCTTTTCTCATACCTTTACATCTCCATTGTGAAGGGCCCATCTGGGCAATGTAGAGCTGCAACAATTAGTCAATTTATTGATTAGCCAAATAATCAATTAGTTAATAATGGCTAGCTAGTTGATAGTAAATTAAACCGTTATGTAATATTCATGGAAAATTGCAGAAAATGTGTTTTTGATCATTTAAAATAAGGAGTTTTTCCTGCTTTCGGATAAGTCACATTAAAGACGTCATCCTGAACTTTGAGAAACTGGGATTGACAGTCTTCACCATTAATCTGACATTTTGCAATGAATCTAGAAAATAATCATCAAGGATAGCCCTTTGACAATGTTGCATTCAATTTAGTGTAGTACATTGACTGGTGAGGTGTTTTATTTTCTGAATCTTATTGATTGACTGTTTCTAAATAGATTTTCAAGATTATTTATCATCAAATAAATTGATTTTCAAGATTATTTATCATCACAAAAAGGCCTAGCATGAGATATAGTAAGATTTTACCCATATATCCCTTGCCTAATTAACACAGTAAGTTTTTGTTTACCTAACCTAACAGTCTGTAATTCATCAAAGCTCCACCTGTAGGCCTGATCTCCGTGCAGTGGGTTGTGTGTAGGTGTTCGGATCAGGGGGTCACAGGTTCAAACCCCACTGCAGTCAGCATGTCGTTGTGTCGTTGTGTCCCTGGGCAAGACACTTCACCCCAAATTGCTCCTGTGGGGATTGTCCACAGTATTGAGTATGTAAGTCGTTTTGGATAAAAGCGTCTAACAAGTAACATGTAATGTAATGTAATCTCCAGTAATAATTTCCCCTGATGCTCTCCTGTGTTTCCCCCAGGTAAGAGTTGTGAGATGGTCCAGCTGGCTGCAGTGAGTGGAGGTCACTCCCTCAACCTGTACATCATCCCTCGGGGTCAAATGCAGCGAGGAGCGTCCAAAGTCACCGGCTTCAGGGTCCGCAGACAGAGGCTGTACCTCCATCGCCAGCCTGTCTTCACCAACACCCTGCGAGAGGCCCTGGTCTCCTTCATAGCTTTCCTCCAGATGTTCGGACATCCTCTCGTCGTCGGCCACAACATCCGCCGCTTCGACTGTCCTGTGCTGGCCCGAACTCTGGAGGAACTGGACCTCCGGGCAGAGTTTGAGGCCGCAGTCTCCGGCTATGTGGACACTCTGCCTCTGGCCCGGGAGATGCTGAAGGAGCGCGGCCTCAAGAGTTTCCGACAGGAGAACCTGGTCAGGGAGCTGCTGGGTGTGAACTACAAGGCCCATGATGCTTTGGAGGATGTGCGGGCTTTGCAGGCTCTGTATAGTGTGCTTCAGCCCACACCAGAGTTGATCTGTAGGCATCTGTTCACCCTGGACACCATGAAGGACAAACCAGCTGCTCAGTCTAAAGAGCCAAAAGGACAGCGCCCGCTGAGGGAGAACGTCAGACAGACAGTGAAGATCACAGAGAGTAAAGAGGACAAAGCCACACAGGAGAACATGTGAAAACATCTGCATGATACACAAAACAAGATGGCTGCTGTACTTGTGAAGCTGTCACTTTCCTCAAATGCTTGATGGTGGAAGTTGAACGAATGAAAGACTGACTTCACTTCAGTGTATCAAGAAGAAAAATGAACTGCAGCGCAAATGGGATTATACCACGGTGATTTTGAAAGGTGAGAGAAGTGAACACTGTAGACAATGCATGCACAAAGTCCTACTTCTGTGTTATGCAGCACTAAACAAAAAAGCACTGAAACCTTCCAGATTAGGGTGCCATTAGTTTGTTACCATTAACAAAAACATGCACTGAAATGTATTGCACAGTACCTACCTGATTGAGACAAAAAAAGATGTTGCATTTATGGGAATCTTAGGAGGGTTGTTGACATTTGTTTGCTATTTGCTATTCTTCAACATTAATATTGATATTCTTTTGTAACTGAAAATGTGTTTTATCTGAATTTACTTCAAAGTTTCCGTGGGCTCTACATAATATTAATTAATCTGCTAATAAATGTATTATATTTCTACAGTGTGTCCAGAATGCTAAGCAACATTTTTGGTTAGTGCTTTGTAAATACGTGAATATTTTTAGAATAATGGATTAATATGATACAATTGCAGTCAAAGATAGCACACAGTAATTTTGTATTATTTCCCATTTCTCATTTTAAGCAAGTTTACCGATTTTAGGACATTTTTGGCGCTCACTACGAAGTACACAGTAGATTAGATTGCCTCCACACAGCTCTCATCATAGCTGCTAGCTTCTAGATCAGCGACGGCTAACGGTTGGTACACATTTACTTATATAAATGAGTAATACCGAACAGGCCCGTAATGATTTTTTTGCAGTATTGTAAGATTTCACATCAAACTGCAGACGCAATAAAAGGAGTTCAGTTGTAGTAATGGAACAAGGCTTTATTAAACCACTTCTACATACACATGTTATCTGCAGTCCCAGACATAACCATATTTAAAAACCCTAATCCATGCCTTTACTAGAGAAATATTGCAAGACTATAGTTAAACCACTTCAGCGTCATGTGCATTTTAAGGACAGTAGGTCAAAGTGGACAAAACAAACGTGCAAATGTGTGGACATACAGTTTTTAAAACGATAAGGTGACTCAAAACAAGATCAGTAACAACGATGTGAGAATATAAAATAAAAGTTCAAACTCAATTCATATTTAAATCAGTGATCTCTACATGATAACTAAATAAAAATATGTTTTGAAAAGATGGAAAAAAAGTTGGTTTGTTAACAAAATTACCCCTTAATGTTTAGAGCTACAGGAAGAGGAATTTAAGGAAGGGTTCCTTAATCAAGAAGACCATGATATTAACTTAAAACCTCCCAAATATTCTTCCTTTTTCCCACAATTTCAACAACCAACAAATAAAAGGTTTAGTGCACATACATCAGGGACAAGCTTAGAAATCAACCCACATGACTTACATGGTCATAGGTAAAAGCATTAACCAGCATTGGATCAATTCACTGTCATTCATTCAAACCACAAGAGACATATTTACTCACTGGCAGGCAGTTAGAGCATTCATTCAAATAATTCATTCAAGAAGAATCCACTTCATTGATTGACTTAATTCAGATTGACCCTGATACAAACTGGAATATTATGTGGAAATTTGCACCATACTGAAATAATCTACTTACAATATTCTACCAACATGTTGGATCACCACATAACACACAGGTAAAACCTTACAATACGGTATTGTTCAAGGGTTAATTTCACTTATTATGTAAAGTCGAGTAATAAAGAATCAGTACAAACAACAAAACATGCAACGTCTGTTGAAAATCCAGCTTCACACACTCAGAAATTGGAACCCATTATTATTATTATTAAATACAGACATGTTTGTTACGATATTCCTATAAAACTGAATGCAGCATTTTGTTGTACAACTGTACAAGATTTGTGTTAACGGGCTTCAGTCAAATTGTACATGTAAGCATGTAGCAGCAGTAGTGCATTTTCACTCATGAGTAACTTTAAGATGTAGTTAATGGCACGGTGATGGTTAATGGCCCTCTTTGTTAGTTTTTAACTTTATGATTGTTTTATACTTTGAAAATAAGTTTCCACACCGTAAACATGCACTGGTAACAGTTTAAAGCAGTAATACTTTCCAGGGTAAACTTCACTGACACTCACGATTGCTACTGAATCCTGTGTCAAATGTCCTTTTTAGTTTACTATCATATTTAGCCAGGCATATTTTAGTTGACTAAAAGGCATTTTAGTCCGAACTTTCTAAGGTTCTTATCAATGAAAAGCTCAAACTGATATTTCAGTCAATCTAGTTCAGCCAAAATATCCTCTCGTTTCCTTCTCACAAGTCCTGGTTTGTCCTTGTTAACTTGAACTTAATGAAGTTATTCTCCCTCCTGACAAAGACTGAGAAACCCAACAGCTGTACAGAAGAAGATAAGGGCCACATTTTTTTCTTCTTCTGAGAAAAAAGTCAGAATGGTTTTGCTCAAATTCTGACTTTAATCTCAGAATTTCTCATAAAATAAATTTGATTTTCTTCTCAGAATGTTGACTTTAGTCTCACTCTCACTTTTGGCCAGGTCTAAAAAAACTTTAGATTTAACATGTGGCCTTAATCATCGTCCATACAGCTAAAAAATGTTTTGAGCTGTATGGACGATCTTAAAGGAGATGTTGGTAAAGCTAACAAAATGTATCCCCGGTCGAGATTGAAGGCCCCTCTCCGGTCTTACTGCTCAAAATCAAACATGCACAGGCATCTCAGTATTGCACTATGACTATATACTCTCAACTTTTGTATCTATGCATTTTATCCAGGTCTGGATATTTACTAACTGAGAAAGACTGCTGGTTCATATATCAGACATGCTCAGTCCTCAGGTGGTTCTGCAGGTGTACAAAGCAGTGAGTGATGGTGGTGTACTGCACCTCTGTAAACATGTCCTCCACCCTGCTTCAGTAGTTAGAAAGTATTGTAATAGGATAAAAACGTGCAGCTGTAAGTGTTTTATGACTAAAAAGGAAACATTTCATAAACATTGAAGAAGGACCAGTTTTAAATTGAGCATTGAGCAATATTTCTAGGATTATTTCATAGCTATTTGGAGGCTTTGAACTGCCATCAGTGGATGGAGCTTGATCAGTTGTGAAGATTTGTTTTGGCCCAAATGTTTATTTGCTGTTCTAGACGATTCTGTATGATCTTCATGATCAGAAAGTGTTTGCCTAGTTGTCGTTGAATTGCACATTTTCATTTCTTCTGAGCATTGAAGTCCCTTTACGCTCCAGAAAAGATACCAAATAGACCTTTATACTGTGTTTTTTTATAGTTCAAGAATAACCTTTCATGCAACATTTTAATCTTTATCTTCTTCAGATTCCTCATCAGTTACCCCACGAGGATGAAGTGATCTGAGCACTGCCTTACTACTTTTTAAATAGGATCATGGCCAGTGTTCTGGACATATCATTTGACTTTTGATTCTCAGTATATACCCAGCACCTTTAAAGAATTTAGAAGAGAACATCCTATGTTTTTTTTCTATAAGATGTAAATTGCACCGCTCCAGATAAAAAAGACAATTCAAATCAGCTGTGGACTTTAAAGCTAAAGAACACTGCAGGTTGGTTTTAGGTGGGAGGGGGCCTCTGTGTCTGAAAGCTCCTTTAATGTACTACCTACTGTGAGGTGCAGGGGGATCATTGGGCTCAATCCTGATCGCAGCGTAGATCTTTAGGAACACACACACACACACACACACACACACACACACACAGACACAGACACAGACACAGACACAGACACAGCTTCAGACTGGCAGCTACAGGAGGCAGCAGGCCCGGAACATGGTCATCCCTGAGGGGCATGTGACGTGCAGGGAGACACTCTCATTGGCCGAGACGAACAGGACGGTGCCCCGGCTCAGTGTGATGTCAGAGAGGGCAGCGACAGAGGTCGCCATGGCGTCACCTTCGATGACCAGGAGGATGCTGGCGCTGTCGACGGGGGCAACGGTGTACTGCTTCACCGAGGGGGGGACCTGCAGGAGGGACAAGGTGAGAGTCTCTGTTTAAAGGTCCCAGATATATACAAAACATGTCTCTGAAGTGTTTGGCTCCAAACACCAAACAGATCATTGCAGCATCCCATAATCCCCTCTGTTTCAGCCCTGTTTTAAAAGTGCTGATTCTCTGTCTGTTACTTAACAGTCTCAATACCGTCGTGAGACAGACAAAATCTACCGCGATGTAAACCTTCATTTAACCAGGTGGTCCCATTGAGATCATCGATCTCTTTTTCAAGGGAGACCTGTCCAACATGGCAGCAAGTAGGTTACAACATGAACATAAAACAACAGATAACACAAAAGGACATCGTATTTACAGGGCTACATTCAGGGTTTGAGTTATGTGGGAGCCAATGGGAGCTGAGCTCCCACAAGGAGGGATCTGAGCTCCCACGGACGCAGTGAAATCATACATCTGTGGGGGTCGCTAATACATTACCAACAACCATTATTTTAATCACAAATAATGCATGTGTCAATGTAATGAGTATTATTTACGTTACGGCGGTGTTATGCATGCCCACCGAGATATGCATGCACCTCGCGGGAGCGCGCACAGCGTAAAGCAAAAACTCCCAGACATTTCAATGATCTGTACGGCAAAGTACGGTTTGGAAATTATATAATTTCCTTTTGTAGGGCATGCATAACACGGCAAACACCAGAGCCTCGCTGCGGGGGAAACTTTGGCGCTGTTCCGAGTTTGTTCTAATCCGTCAAAATGACAGACTGCTTTCAGATTTTTCCGTCATTGTTAAAAAAAATATTCGGTTAACGCGACCACTGCTGTCCTAGCAACATCAGTACCAAGCGAGAGAGTTTTTTCCACAGCAGGGGATATTGTAAACGCCCAAACATCCCAGCTTCTACCTGGAAATGTGGACTTGCTCATATTCCTAAAGAAAAACCTGTCTGATGATGCTGAGTTAGAGTTGAAACTTGATTTATTTTATTGTAGGGTCTGATTATTAAATGTCCTTGTTTATTTGTGAGATGCAGTGGCACAAAGAAAATGCCTGCTTTGTTTGGTAGTACTAGTAGGTAAAAAAACACTGGTTGTTCTTGTTCCAGTCTGTTACTGTCACTTTGTTTTTGACACTTTAAAATAGTACTATCCTACTAAAATGCTGTATAAATCAGATTTATTATTTAATAAAGAAAAACATTTAAAGTAAAGAAAATATTAATTAAAAATAAGTAATTTTGGATTGTTCTACCTGTATCCTCATGACAGAGAAGTCTGGCACGGGGGGGTCGTACAGGGAGACGCAGGGGTCGGAGGCGTCCTGGACACAGGGGAAGATCTTGGAGCTGGCCGGGGCGGGGGTGTAGTTCAGCATCTCACACAGCGTGTTCACGTCGATGTATTTGGGAGTCAGACCGGCCCTCACCGTGTTGTCTGAGCAGGCCATGCACTCCACACAGTCTACATGGATGGATTAGGACATAGATAATAGTTTTAAATAAGCAGAATTGGCAGTGGACTCTCCTTCAAACAGGAAAATCAATCCTCTAATACTCTTACAATGTGCAGCCTGTGAAGTTAAATGCATTACAGGAGCTTTTTCTTCTCCTCTACTCCTACTTTTATTGTTAGTGATTTCCAAGAATGCCTTTTGACTACGGGTGTGAACTCACAAAAAGGTCAACTCTGCCAGATAACTGTGATCTCCTCTAAACACACATCTTTTAGCTCAAAAAACATTTAAAAACAGGAAATCACACACTGTAGTTTACTTTGTCCTATTCACACACACTGTCCTGCTGCAGGAAATTCTCAAAGGGCACCCAATGTGTATTCATTCACAACAGAAAATAGTCCCAAATGTCTCCTTTTTGTCACATTTGCAAAAAATACACTACCCAGCTCTGTTAGCAAGAAACTGAGATAAAAAATGTAAAATGTGTGAGCCAATCTTAAAGACTAATGTCCTCAGTATGAACCAATGGGCTTGGAGTAAGTGAGTAGGCTAGTTAGAAAATGTTGAGTAACACATTGTCACAATTTTGGCTTGGTTGACAATAAGAAAACTATAGAATAATGCCGCAGTTATCCTTTAACAGCACTGGACTTTAACAAACTGAAAACTTCTCTGATAAACAGGACTACTGGAGTGTCAACAACTTCATTATCTCATGAACGCAAACAGAAAGCATCATCTGACCTCCGTAGAGGTAGGCGTGAGGCTCGTTGGCCCCCAGGAACATGGCCTGGCCCGGCTCCAGCAGCATGTGGTTCAGGAAGTAGATGGAGAAGCAGCCGATGTCTCCGGGGTACTGAGAGTGGAGCCGCAGCAGCAGGTCTCCGATGCTGCTCGACGTGTCCTTCCCTGCTGCACCTGCACACGTCATAACCATCCATGAGGGTTATTTGGTTAGTAAAAACAGTTTTAAAAAAGCAAAACAACTGCCTGTGATTTGCCTATTACAAATCCATTAAAAATCCCATCTGTACAGAGGTGGGAAGTAGTGGAGTACTACAAATACTTTGTTACTATACTTAAAGGAGAGGTGTCATGGCCATTTCCACTGATCATAATTCCATTGTTGAGGTCTACTAGAATAGATTTATATTGTGCAATTTTCCAAACTCACATTGGTTTCTCATACAGCATCTCTGTAAACTACGTGTATTCACTGAATTTCACTCTCTGCCTTTAACGGCTCGTTGTAGCTCCAATAGCTCCAGCCCCCACCCTCCCTGTGAGCACAGTGTGCTCTGATTGGTCGGGACGTTGTGAATCGCGCTGAGCTCCGTGGAGGTGTTGTTTCCTTGTTAGCGATACACAGCGAAACACAGCCAAACTCATCCTGAGCACACACAAAGTCACAGCCGAAGTAAAAACAATAAGTGTGGCTTGATATTGAGTAAGAAAAAGGTTGATAAACGCTGTGAGAATGGGTCTGCAGAGAGAATTTCGCCGCGATCCCAACTGTCTGTTATCAGCCTGCAGCCAGGGAGGAGAAATCAGCTGAGCTGCCTGCTCCCTGCACTGAGTGTGTGTGTGAGGAAGTCCGTGGATTGGTCAATTTCGTTCCTGGCCATTCACACGTCACAGTACACAGGAAGTAAACAATGGACAATGACGTATCTCCAACGAGGCGTTTTGGGGAGGTATTTTCTGTGTTAGAGTTTTACTCGCTACAGGGTGTACTTTGAGGGTTTTTGACTCTGCAGACCGTTTACATGCATAAAAACCTTCATAACACACAAGGGGATGGGTAATAACCGGAAAAGCATGACATGTGTCCTTTAAGTAAATGTTTCTGGTATCAGTACTTTACTCCACTACTTATCTTTCTGATGACTTTTTACTTTCACTTAATACCTGTACATTCTACTTCTTACATTTCCCAAACAGGCTGGTTACTTTAGTTTGAATGTGTGTTTGGTGGCGTGATCATTATTATTTAGAGTCATTGCGTGCCTATTGATTTGAACACGATCCGTGTATCCATCATTTCCTGGTCTTCTCTAAAGAAGAGGGACCAATGAAAACGTTGTCATGTTGCCGTTGTTCAGCATGGAAACATTCATGAGCTAACAATGACATTATTGTTCTATTAATATAAAGTGAGGTCAGGTACTCTTTAAAACAGCTGCTAGTTATGGGTACTTTTTACTTAAGTACATTTCAAAGCCCATACTTCTTTACTTTTACTTGAGTAAAGAAGTTTAGTCAGCACTTCTACTTTTACCATAGTATTTTTAAACACCAGTATCTGTACTTCTACTTGAGTAAAGGATGTGTGTACTTTTGCCATCGCTGCATCTGTAGGATAAGAAAATGTCTGATATTGCGCCTCCTGGTGGTTAATCACAGCGCTGCTCCCCTTCCTAGTCTGGGACACTTAATAAATTGTATTTCAGTGTTTTGTTTTATCCACGATGATGCTGGCCTTCATTTGAAATAGTGTTTTTTAATGATAACCTGTGTTACTTCTGCTTCAGTAAGTACCACAGCTTCGTGCATGATTACTTCTTACAGCTGATATATATATCTCTCTTTTTAACACACGAGCATCAGAGACCAGATTGTTAAGTATGGTCAAATTAACTGATAAACCAAAATCATTTTAATGTTTTTAGATCACATGTAAAATCCTACTTTCATCAATATTTAAAGTCAGGAGAATTTGATAAAATTAGGGAGACATTAGGTTTAGTATTTATCTTCCCTATGGAATATCTTCACACTGCAAATGGCTGCTTATCTTTGATATTCAAAGTGTTATGAGTTAATAGATACCAAATACATTATTGTGCTCCTTGTTTCTAAGATACAGCCATTTTCTTAGCATTCTGTGTTTATTTTATTCTTTGGGCACATGGTACTGTTTTTCCCAAATGTAATTCAATATATAGAATAAAAACAGTAGTCTTTTTATATGCCCAAAGTCTTAATATACAGTAGTATGACCTAAAACGAAAAAACTGTTGTTAATGGTTTCAAGACTGTTGCTTCCTTTCATGTTCAAATAGACTGAGAGCAACATAAAAAGCACTGGATAAAATGTGATACTTCTCCCTCTAAACTCTAATAATGCTTAATGACTAACCAACTAAACCAACTAAGTAAACCCAGTAATTCTGCGTCTGTTTCCAGCTTCCCTTCAGCCTCCTCACCGTCTTCAGTGACTCTCTTGACCAGCATGTTGAGCTGATCCACGAACACCTTCTTCTCGCAGTTCATCATCCTGGTGAAGCACTTCTTCAGCACCTGGCCCGTGTGGACCGCATTTCCCACGCTGCACCTGAGCTCCATTGCCGCCTCGTTTCCCACCAGAGCATGAAACTCTGGGACAGCTGATGGATAATAATAATAATAATAATACATTTAATTTCAAAGCGCGTTTCCAGGTGCTCAAAGACGCTTTACAGTGGTGATAAAACGAGATAAAATAGAATAAAAACATATTAAAACAGCAACACAACATAATTCACAAATTAAAAGCCAGTCTGAAGAGGTGTGTTTTGGTCAGTGTTTTGAAAGTGGGGGGGTCGGTGCAGTCTCTGATGTGTTGTGGAAGGGAGTTCCAGAGGGTGGGGGCAGCGATGGAGAAGGCTCTGTCCCCCAAGAGGGTGGGGGCAGCGATGGAGAAAGAAGGCTCTGTCCCCGCAGGTTCGGAGCTTGGTTCGTGTGGGGATAGAAAGGAGGTTCGCTTCTGATGAGCGAAGGCTGCGGGAAGGGGTGTGGTGGTGGATCAGGTCGGTGAGGTAGGGGGGGGGGGGGGGGGGGGGGCTGATTATTGAGAACTTTGTGTGTTAGCAGAAGGATTTTGAAGTGTATTCGTTGGCGGACAGGGAGCCAGTGCAGGTTTTGAAGGACGGGGGTGATGTGGTCTCTGGAGCGGGTGTGGGTGCTGCGCAGTGCACACACACATACGCACAAGGTAAGCATTTATTTGATTCATACCCTTAGAAGTACAGGTCTTTACCACTTCACCCATAATATAATTAAGCAATAGCTCACGACAGGCCGTGGTATATGGCCATTATATCACAGTTAAGGGGCGCCACCTAATTGTGACGTCTGTAGTCAACACACTATAAAAGACTACAATTCCCACAGCGCCTCCTCTAGAGTGACAGTGATGGGCAACCTTTCAGAAAGACGCCGTCGAGTAACAGTTTTTAACCGTCCAATTACCCTTTAAGTTATTAAGTTATCAAGAAAGAAAGAATACCTAAGTTGTTTGTTATTTTATTTGAGTTTTGCATCTTTGTTTTGAATATTGTAAAGGCCTCTTCTCTTTGTTGCATGTGTAAAAGTTTGTTGTTTTATTTTGAGCAAACACATCGCATATCATCATCCAACCCATCGGAGGCCAAGCAACTCTTCAACTGTAAGTAATATAAAGGAAAGAAAACAAGTTAAAAATGTCTGTTTAAGGCGTCTAGTGGCTTGAAAGAAAAACAAGGAAAGAAGCCACGATAGTATATGTATGTGTGTGACCTCATTAAACACCATCTTTCTGTCCTTGTTTCTCTAGTAACTGCCCAAAAATCCATCCCAAATCCTCTTAATGACCCTGTGGGATTTTCAGACTCACATTTGAGGAACCCCAGGATCTCCTCCGCCGGTCTGAAGCCGCAGAGGCCCTCAAAGCGGGTGAGGGCGATGGCCATCTCCGGCTTGTGGTTGTTGTCTGGATAATGCTCCGGAAACTGAGCATGGAGACGAGCCGCTAACTCCTGACCAAAGCATGCAGACAGAAAAGGAAGAAGGTTACTAGGGAGGGGAAGTGAGGGAGGAGAGCAGGTCGACCAAAGTCTGTTCTGGACCAATGGCTTCAATGTTCAAACCAGCTGAAAACATGTTAAACCATGATGAATGCAGTCTTTCTAATAAACATATGTAGATGTGTGTATATAGCTCTCTCTCTGTAACAATTTGATAAGATTGCTTTCAGCCATTTGCATTTTCATATGGCCATTTTGAGGACAAAGCAACATAAAGGTGAGATAGCAGCTTTGAACTGAAACCAACAGCCGCTTGTTGAATCAAGGATTGTTTTAAAGTGGGAATGAACCTCTTATTTTAATCAACTATATGTGGATACCCCCCATATTCAGTAATCCTTACCATTATTGAATTCAGGGACAGATTTTTTCAGTTAAAATCCAATGTAGCCGAGCCAGAAATATAATCGTTTTTATTCCATGCAAGTATTGAAAAAACTGGCGCCTCTGTAAAAACTCAATGTCGAATTTGGGTGTGTTATACTAGTAGCAGCTAATGTAGCAGCTAACTTAAAGCACCGATTAGGAGTTCTGTTAAGGCTGAAGCCACATCACTTGAAGACATTTATTAGACTTTTCAAAGCTCTCTCTCTCTATCTCCACAAAATATGGAGTAATGCTCATGGAGACCTGTAAACAGACGTATATGTGTAAAATGTGTGCAGTTCCTCTTTAAGGTTTGGGTAACAATCACACACTATGTCCTAAGTAACAATGTCTTCAGGTGGTGGGAACTCACTGTCATTTCTGATTAGTAAAATGTATCCCAATTTATATTTAACCCTTATGTTGTGTTCGGGTCTCCCGTGACCCGTTTCAAGTTAAAATTATATAGTAACTACCCTCTAGTTTTTTTTATCGGAACAAGGCTTCATGATATCCTCCACAACAGCTATATAAACACTACAAAACTGATTTTGACAATTTTAGCCAAGTCTGAAGGTCTCTAAAAAAAAAGTGTATAATTTGGTGTTCGGGTCTGGGGAGACCCTGCAGCATTGTTGGGGGTGACTCGGGGTCAAATTTTGCCCAATCAAGATTCATCTTTGACTTTAGACACCCCTCCCCCACCCCCTTCCTCCACTGTAACAATAATTTGAAGTCTATTATAGTCAGATAACATCATTATCCACTGTCTTCACTATACGGAATATAATGAGTTAATTTAATCACATTTTTTACTTAAATATGTGATGTGATGTGTTTTGGGGCCATAACATACAATTACAACAGGATTGTACGGTTATTAATGCATAATAAGTTAGTTATGATGTAGTTTAAACAATATTGGATGATAGTCATTGTTTTGGAGTGTTTTGGACTGAGATAAATCATGGGTCAAAATTAACCCGCGAACATCATGAACGGTAACAGCTTTCTAACACAACACAAGGGTTAAATAAAAATAACATTTTCTGATACCCATCTATATTCTAAGGGAACTTATGATAGTGCATAGATGACTGGTTCATATTTTAAACAGCTGTAGTTAAATGTGAAAAACAGCAGAGTATAAATGAGTCATTTTACGCAGAATTCGAACACTGCGTTGGTGTGTGTGTGCGTTAGAGTGTGTGTTTGTGTACTCACTCTGTTGGGGTGTGCCTGTATGGACAGGGCTGTGTTGACAGACAGGACCTTGAAGAGGAAGGGCAGCTGACCCTGGAAGGTGTCTTTGACCTTGGAGCCCAGGCAGGCGGGGAAGTGTGCGATCCACTCGCCCAGCGTGGTCTGAGCGATCCGGTTGTCTTTGATCTGGGCATCTCCTTTTGGGTGGGCACCCATCCACAGCTGGGAGAGAGAGGAGAGGGATAGGTAAAGTCAAATATTGGACTTTCGAGTGAGTGGGTTGAGGCAGAAGTGGACTAAAGGTTACAGAAGTAGGCTTGTGACTGGGTGATCGGTCAAAATCCTGATCTAATGGGGAAAATACAAAACTGAGAGCTGAATCCAGATTAAAAGTTGAACAATTCCAGAAACATATGTTGAAAAATGTATGACATGCGTGTTGCTTCCCTCCTTCATCTTTGTTAACAAGCTTCTTAAGGGAGTCCCAGTTGTCCCCTTTGAGAAAGAGACTGAGTATCATGCATTTAATCAATTTATCTAATGTAATCCAAAGTGATTTATATCCAGTAAGAAGGGAAGATAATCCTATCCATCTCACTCAGTGTAAATCACTTGTAAATGAAGGATACTGTCTCAAGGACACACACTTGTTGGTGGACAAACAATATGACACAATGAGGCTTTATCCTGTAAACAAAGTTAGGTATGTGAGAAAAAAAGGTTGATACAAGTGCTACATTCACAAGAAAACATATCCCAAATTACCCAGAAAACAGGATATTACGTTGATGTCTATTCCCATTAGAGGAAGACAAATTCAATCAATAAAAACACTGGAATGTAAATGAATAAATGTAAAGACAAATATCATGATCAATTATAACCTAACATAAAATAGGTAAAACATATTATGTTGCAGATGTGCTGAACAATAGGTCACATACTGTAATGTAGGTTTGAAATCCATACCACCCTGTGACTATGAGCATGAATGTCAATATAACCACATGGCATGTGACATTAATGTTGCTTGTGGCACATTTAAATGTCACAGCCTGAACTAATGACCTTCATGACAAACCCTGCAGAGCTGCTGCAGCTAAATAAAGAAATACGTAAGAGAAGGCAAGGAGGGAACAAGGCTCTCTGCCAACACACTTAGCAAGAAACACTTTGGTTTGAACACGGAAATATATTTCACACAGCTCATGTGATTGGTCAAACTTGGAAAGAATGATTAGTGTAATTTGTTAGTGTGAGCTACATTTATACATCTTAAAGACACTATGAAGCTGACAGTATTACCATCTCAACACAATAGCTGTATCTTAAAATAACTACACCATCTTTCAACTATGTTACGGTGCTTTAAATAATATCAGTCGACCTAGAACTGCTGTTAAAATTGAAATAAAAACGATATTACTGAGGGATTTAGAATAACAGTCAAAATCATTCTTTTACAAGCTGAAATGTGTAGTCAAAAACTATTTCATGCACTTTATACTTCCTGTTTTTGTATCAGTTATTTGAAGCAGTACTACTCCTAGTAATACCGTTACCTCTGCATAGGGCTTGCCCTCCTCCACCACAGCGACCGGGTCTCCCCCCAACACGAGTTTGGCCACCTCGCTGTCCAGCCCCAGCTTCCCCCACGCATAATTCTGCACGGCACAGGTCAGCGGAAACACTGGGGACGGAAAGACAACATTTATTGTGGGAATCCTTAAAACAAAACGTGAATACAGAACTGAACCAAGTATATTCCAGGGGCCTCTGATCCCTTTACAACTGTGAAAACACACCTCTCTTTTGTTACCCTTCCTACAGGTGTACTGAGCATCATTTTGTCACCAAATAAGAGAAATAAGTGTGCAATATGTAGCTAGTTAAAAGTATAATCATTACTGGCTGCCTTCTTAGATGACAATGTTAATACTCTAACAAGAATCTGTACTATATAATGTTACTTCTGTTATCTAGCTTCTACCACACTTCATTCTACATGTTAAACTTAAAAAAATATTCTATAAATACTGCTGCTGCTGCTGCTAAAAGGGGAAACATTCACAATCATTTCCCGGTGAAAAAGCTGTGTATTTGTCTGTGTATGTGTTTGGGGGGGGGTTGAACAGCATTCACACTAACAAGGCGTGGCGTACTTTTACAGTGGGAAAACAATCTCACACAACCTGCTTAAATACACTGTACAGCCTCATTATAAATCAATGTAACGGGAATAGATTTTGGTTGGGTTCATTATTTGGCGGAACACCGGCCAGCTGACCATGTAACGTTCAATGACAGAAACACACACAGTAAGCTGGTTTACATTAGCGAGAAACGAAGTAGGTTTGCCGTGCACACTGTAGACATGTTATACGTGGTCAAAAGACCTACCGACACGTTATTTCACTGTAGTGCTGCTGTAAACACTAGCCGCCTCTCTTTAAATAAACAAAACGCCGAATGAAATATGAATGTGGACGCTTCTACAACAACAACAACAACAACGAGCTTTTTTTTTTACTGTTCCTGCTCATTGTGTCAATAACCCGTAGCAGCTCTCAGGTAATGTAAATAATGGGTTGCAGGTTAAGGTAGCTAAATGTTAGGCACAGAAGGTTATAAACAGATATTTAGCAGGAGCAGATCTCACTCACCTCTCACTTCCTCCATGGTTGCAACGTCGGCTGTCAGAGCGTCGGTGACGTCACGATACACTCAATACTTTTTTTCACTTCCACGTGATACGTCAAGGAAAAAACGCAAAAAAACGATTATTGGTATTTTATTAATTTGGGGGGAAATATTTAAAGCTCTACAAAAGTTATATATTAATAATAAAAATTATAAAAACTGTATATTTGGTCGTTTTTATTATGACTTTTGTGTAAATTCAACATTAATATATTATTAATATTACTACACCACTGTTTATATTGAACTAATATGCATGTTATATTTATCAGTAAAATGTGCACATGTTTACTTTAACATCTTATGTCTATACAATTATTATTGTATTTCTATTTTATTGTATGTCAACTTCTTATGCTCATGTAAATATATTTATTTTATTTTATCTTTTTTATTGCATATTCTTACTTTTTATTCTTACTTCTTATCTTTATAAAAGCAATTTTGACCTGGATAAATAAACTATTCAGGTTCTGATTGATTTCTGATAAACCCTGCACCTTTTTATTTAAATGTGTTTATCTTTTTCTGTCAACTTTGCCTTGTGATTTTTCTTGAATTGTTCTTGTAGGCCTAAAGTTAATTGTTTCACTTTTTACAGTTGCTATTTTAACTTTTACAGTTACCGTTTTACTTGTAAAGTTGTATTTCCTTCTATAGGTGGCGTGCTTTTCTTGGTGATTGATGTGTGTCAAGTTCATCTGATTTAAAAATGAAACCAAGCTATAAATCACAAAAAAATAAATTATAAAGACAATAATTTGTCCACCTCCATTATTGTATTTATATAACTTAATAGTGTCCTCTGGCTATGTGTATGTATATTGTCTCCTGGCATTTTTATTATTATTGTGATTGACTTATGTTGCTTTTTTTTGTTTTTTGTATTAATGTTAAAGAAGATATTTAAAAAATACAAGTAAAAGAATACACGTCACTGTCCAAGTGGCGTAGTGCGCATGCGCTGTAGATTCATTCGAGGAAGTGGCAGGAGAGGCAACTCAAACGACGGAGAAGAGTTTGTTGTTTATTCTGCGTTTAGAGAGGACTAACCGGCCCGAATCCTTATCAAAATGTCGGAATTTGATAGCAACCCGTTCGCAGACCCTGCCGGCGACAATCCTTTCAATGTAAGTTGTGGTTTAAGTTTTTATTTAAGCTGTTAAGGCACAGTCGAGTCTGGCTGCTGACATATCGTTAGTTAAAAGGTAGCCAGCAAGTCAGGAAACGATGTTGAAGGGAAGGGATGTAATTCTGCTCTCTTGAAGACCATTGGACAAAGATGACATGATTGGCAGTGCTTAAACCAATCAGCGGGCGTTGTTTAAAGAATAAGAGGGCGGGGCATTCTGTTAGCTAGTTTTACAGGAAGTTAAACTGTAGCCAACCTGGAATGTGTGTCAAACCCTTTTTTAACCACATTGAAACCCGCTAGTATTCATTTTAAAATGGATGTTTATCATTGAGTCGTGTTACTTAAATGTTGTACATGGTTTGAGATACTTTTAGAGTTCTGTAAATTACTCTTAAGACACTCAATTTCAAGCTAACTACTCTACCTCCATTGGTGCTGCTGGTTTGGTCTTTGAAAAGTATTTCTAAACTCTAGCACTTGTTGCTTCCATGTTAACAGTGGCTGACTTATTAGCTAATATGTGCTGCTATTTAAATGATCCTTTGGTTGTATCCTCACATTTAAGATGAAGGCTGTATTCAAGACTTTCTGAAAGTTGAAAAAGATGCATTAATTTATTGTTTCTTACATTATGTTATAACACATGCTCTCAAGTGTTTCATTATTGCCATCGCATAAAGTTTAGGGACTTACAGAAAACACACTGAAGGAAGAATAGTCAGCAAAGAGCAAGACATCCTGACCTTCATTTTCTAATTTGTGTCAAACTTCAATAATGCTTATTCTGTGATGAGCGTTGCATCTTATGTGTGTCTGACCTTCCCTATCTGGTGAATTCCCACTAATTCCAACACATTTTTGGTATTTTGTATACACTATATATCTATTATTATTCATCTATTTATGTATTCTTTAATTCATTATTACAGTGTTTTTTATTTATATTTACACACCTACACAGACTGATGAACATGCTTGGTGTATGTCTGGAATCTCAACAGACTCCATATGTATTTAAGATAAGGATATATGACCCATATATATATATATATATATATATATATATATATATATATATTTAGCTGCCATGAGCACCATCTATTCCTTATTATATAAGATAAGCCGGCCCGGCTAAAATAACTGGATGGCCTACCTGCCTGTCAGCCTTCCATCTGTGCACAAACTTATCTCGTGCCCTCATTGGTCATGTGCGCGTTCGTGTGTGTTGGAGGAGGTGCTCTGTAAGGAAGTGGCAGATTTTTTCCGGCTGTGTATTTTCAAATTCTAGCGATCTCGAGCTGGTTTCTCCAAAATGACCTACCCCACCTTTAACTCAAAGCGAGTAAAAGAATTGCCAATTATGCACACTTTTTATCTTATTTTAATTTAAACGGATTAACTACTGTCAAAATCACACCCGTTTAGTTGTCATGAGCATGGGAATTAGATATAGAGTAGGGCTGGGCAATATATCAATATTTTTTCATTATGATATGCAACTAGATATGGTCTTAGACTTTGGATATATGATATAAGTGTTTTATTTTTCTGGTGTTAAAGGCTGCATGACATAACATTACATTATTTTCTAAACTCGCCAGATTGCCTTTTATTTGCCTTAACCCACTTATGTCGCGTTTCCACTACACGGCCTCGCTCGGCCCCGCTCGGTATGGCTGGGCCTCGTTAGGACTGGCTCACTTTATGGCGCATTTCCATTACAGTTTAGGAACTGGGGCAGTATCTATAGTAACGCAGTGTAGGCGGAGCCGTGACGTGATCTTCAGAGGACCCCAGAAAAACAACACAGCCGTTAGCTGTTAGCACTCAGAGCTCACAGCTCCTCATATATGTTCAGAAACTAGACAAAAGTTAAACAAGTACAAACCACAGACTGCCTGTGTCATGGTGAATACAGTCGCTGCTTTATTTATGTCTGTATAGGCCGTTGTTGTGAGTGTGGACGGTCGGAGCATATACTGCGTTAGCTTAGCCAATCTCCATTTAGAAAACAAGCATTTTAAAAGGTTTTTCCCCTGCCGTCTATCTGCAGACTTGACAAAGCATTAATTCATGGTTTTTACTAACCGGTATCAGTATGTTGTTACTTCGGCATCATTTTGAAACGTGTATTACAATTAAATCACGGTCA